CAGGACTATAGCAAGAGGATCAGCCTCGACTCCGGATCCCGGCGTCGATATAGATACAAAACAAGAAAAAAGATTTGGCTGGGTTAATCGGAACAAGAGAATACACAGACACAGACAGAGTGTTAGGAAATGCATGTGTCTGTAATAAGAAGATGAATCCACGAGGATGTCAGCTACAATCCTGTGGGAGCCATCAGGGAAGCAGCATGACGAGACTCAAGGCAGGACCACAGAGACAGGTTCAGCCACGACCCGAAGTCCACGACTTAATCCAGAACTCAGGATAGAGGATCCAAGACACAGGACTACAGCAAGAGGATCAGCCTCGACTCCGGATCCCGGCGTCGATATAGATACAAAACAAGAACAAAGATTTGGCTGGGTTAATCGGAACAAGAGAATACACAGACACAGACAGAGAGGGAAAAGGTCATTGGATAAAAGTTATTCTTTATAACCCTCTAGAAAGATCTCATGAACTTCCCCACTCAATCTATCAAGACCCGAGCAGTTCTATTAGATATAGGATAAGAAACAGAGATAGAGCACAACAACCTATCTTTTAGTCAGATGTACTTCCCCGCTTATCTAAGCGACTCTGTTCCCCGTTATCCTCTACATTCCGGAGGGTAATATTTTTGGTCGCGTGTATGGATTTGTCTGTTAGTCTGCAGGATTACACAAAAAGTACCAGACCAATTTTCATGAAACTCAGTGGAAGGGTGTAGCATGGGTTAAGGAAGAACCCATTTTTGCAGCGGATCCCCTTAATAAAAAAAAACAGCTCCCCGTGTAGGGGCACTAGAGACACAGGGTTTAGCCTGGGGTGTGTGGGGGGAGTGCACCGAACCGTTGGCTGCGACACGAGGGGGTCGCCACAGAGCTGACTAAACATGGCCGGTGGGAGGCGGGTTGAAACGGCCATATCTTAACGTGGAAAGGTTACAGAGACACGGGCATAAAGCTCTCGACCTAACAAATGCAGCAATGCAAAACATGTCCTGCTCGCATGCACGCGCACAGAGCCACAAAATGCATTCATGGGCGGAGGTCTGTGCTCTCTGCAGCATTGCTAGTTTAAATGATTGTGGTGACCATGAAAAAAGATTCATCAGTAAAATAAAATGGTTTATTAAACAACAAAACTATAATAGACACGACACCAAAACACAGACTAGGAAGGGCAGTAAATAGACACATGAGGGAGCGAGCGACAGGACAGGAAATAAGGTCCCTTTTTTATGTGCAAGCAGGACCGCCCCCCCGGCAGTTCCACCAATTAGTTCCCCCGTCCTTGCCAGTTCGCTACATTATTATGCAGATGTCTTAGTGTCAAAGGTGTTAACATATTTTGGACCCTTAAAATCTGATCAGTGCATAGCTTCATCATTTTCTGTTTGTGTTCCACAGAGCAGTGAGGCCAAGAAGGAGATTGCAGAGACAGTGATGGGAATCTATGTCATCCGAAAAGAGGGAGTGGATACAGACCCGGCGTCATGGGCGGGCCCTATGGGGCCGGGCCCGCCCATCCAGGATTTGGGCCCACTGTTTTAATCAGGGCTGAATACAACATTTTAATTGTTTTATTATTATGTTCAGTGGCGGCGCCAGGGTATACTTGGGTCGGCTACAGCCATACCAACAAAAATGGCTTAGCCCCACCATGAAAAATGATTTTAAAGTAAGCAAACTAAAGTCCGCCAACTCGGCGGAGTAAATTGCACAGACAGCAGCTAGTAAGATTGATTTCAGCAGTCACTTGTCTGGAAATACCGAAGACTAGAAACGGTTTGAAAACTTTTGTCACGTAGTGATCGTCTTCTCAATAGAACATCTTTGATAATGTCTTCTGGCCAATCAGAATCAAGATAACGACGTGGTGTTGTTACAGGAAGTCCCGACGGAGAATACTTTTGCTGTAGTAAATCTCTATACATCGATACAACACTAATGAAATAAGACCCCACGGTTTGATGATTGATAGGTGTGTGGGCTGTCTTTCATTTTGACACACAGAACAATGGGGGCTATTGACCCTTATCCACAATGTAAAGTAATTCACACAGCCCACTTCTCTCTGTGAGGAGCAGCAGGTTCAGCTTTCAGAACAAAGTAACAAAAAACTAAAATGGCATTCATTTTTTTAAATATGTCGTGTAGTAATAGATTTATTTATTTTTCTTCTCAAGAGAGTACCAAAGGCAGAATGTGTATTTTATGTTAGTATTTCAAAAAATCTCCTGGGGGAGAATCTCCCCAGACCCCCCTGCAGGGGTTGGGTTTTCAGCATGTCAACTCTTTCACCTGTGGAGAAATGGCAGGATTGGCTCCAGGTCGCCCTTTTTATTTACTACAAGACAAATGTGCCTTTTTATTTCATACAGTTCAATTTGGATTGAGACAGGGAAATAATCTAAACCTCACGCGTGGCGTTTCACTGTCAAGGGGAGCGTGTATGTAATTATATTGCAAATACTGACTTGAGCCCCACCACTGTATGGGTAACCGTTAGCCCTACCATAGATTACCCAACAAAAATACTCTGGCGCCGCAACTGTTTGCTTTGCTCCCCAAAAATCCAACGGTATCTCAGACAACTGCAGACCAAATCATCCGATGTTAGGTAATAGACCACAAACACCGCTCGTCACCCATTACGACACGGTTGAACCAGGTTCGTTTGACGTCCGTTGAACCGCGTGTGTCCCACGTCTCCACCTCACCAACTCGCTACCTCTCTTTCCCTCTCTCTCTCTCTAACTCCGTTCTTCCGGTCTCTCGTACACGCCGCAGGACGAACGCGTGTCTCGTCCTCAAACGCACTCTCGTCGCCGAACTCTCAGTTAAAGAGATTTTTATTTAACTAACGGTCGGGAGGGAACAGGGACGCCTCGAACGATCGAGCAACCATTCATGACTACAAGATTACACTACGTAGACCGCGACTCAACGTTATAAGGAAAGTACTTCGTGAAGGACTATAGGGTGAACAACGTCTATTTATATTACTATTATGGTTTGATTGGATCGTTCTCATTTTGACTTCGCGACACCTGAGTAGTTTTTGGGTGTGCTGAGTTCGCGCGTACAGAAATTAAGTCTTAAAGTAAGTCTTAAAGTAAGTCTTAAAGTATCGTTAGAAAGTTGTATCAAATTTTGTTTTTATTTATAATCCTGTTTCGGATGTTTATTNATCTAAACCTCACGTGGCGTTTCACTGTCAAGGGGAGCGTGTATGTAATTACATTGCAAATACTGACTTGAGCCCCACCACTGTATGGGTTAGCCCCAGGGCCGCCCCTCCCTACAGGCCAATCACGCAGGCTGCATGGGCCCCGCCTTGCCGAGGGGGCCCCGCCCAGAGGGCCTCAGCTGTCCGCGTTCACAACTGAAGATGGGAGGTGATATTCTATTCATTTTCACGTTCACACAGTCGGTGATTTTGGCCGGCCGTCTTTCCTGCAACGGCGGTTTAAACTGTATTTCCTCCGCACACTGAGCTCTGATTGGTCAGCAGGCGTGGTGCTTTCACTGTGTTGATCTTTTATCCTGGTACCTATCCTGCTTCGGAGCACAGACTAGGTTCCAGGATAAGTCACCATGGAGATCTAGCCCGCTAAAAAGTGAACCAGCTCCCAGAGACACTTAGGAAGGTTAAGGACATTAGAGGGAAGATAGAAAATATATTATTAATAGAGGTGGAGAAGAAAGCTAGGTTTGTAAAGCAGGCATATTATGAAGGGGGGCCAAAGCAAATAAATTATTTGCCAGAAAGATAAGGGCACAACAAACATTAAACACTATACATAAGATTAGGAATCCTACCACATGAGTTACTTAGAGAGCCGGAGGAAATAGAGAGAGCATATTGAGGATTATCATAGACCACTATACGCACACAACCACTGCAGCAGAGGAAAAAAGAGAGTATGAATCGCCACTTTTATAGAGAGGGCAGATCACTAACCGATCGATAGAGAAAGAACAGATAGGTGTTTGAACTCAGATATTACAGAATAAAGAGATGTGGGCGATGCATTAGTAGAATGAAAAATAGTAAGTCACCAGGTAAAACCTAGGTCGTAACAATGCGACGGCTGCTCATACCGATAATTAATAAATTACTCTCACAACCGGAACTAGCCTTATAGCTCTGCGATCATTTAACATATACTCTCGAAGAACCAAAACCCCGTCATGAAGCGGCTATCATCTAACTCATCACTTCCCAAGGAAGCACGGATAAAGAATTATGTAGTAGCGCTTAGACCAATATACATACTTAGATGTGACTCAGCAAGAAGTATAGGTGTCATAATTTCGAAAAGATTTGGAGACAACTTCATTGCCGACATTATAGAGCAGGACCGAGACTGGTTTTATAGAAGGAGACAGACACAAGGTAAGTATACAGGAAAACAATTCATGATAGTGGAGGAGGCCAAAGAGGGAGACCCAGTGGCACATTTAGTTGAGTCTAA